TAAATGGATTTCCTAAGTGTCACTCTGCGGGGGATTAGGTTGTCAGCTTCTGACCTGGACATTCAACTTGGCTCTTAGAGTTAGGTGTTTGTTATACACTGGAGGTGACATTCTCTTTTGAAACATGTTACTGGCTGTTTCTCAGCCTTTAGGTAACATTTTTAACTGCAAGGTGAGATTGACTTAAGACAGTTCTCTTGGTCTGAAACTTACTGTGCTTGAATCCGAAGGGGAACTCCCTGCCAGCGTGGGTCATTTTTGGTTCTTCTTTTTAAGGCCGTGGCTATGGACGCGTTGTCTCTGGAGCAGCAGCTTCCCCCCTACCCGTTTTTTACCCAGACAACTTCCCAGCAACAGCAGCAGACCCAGGTGGCCAGTACCCTGCCTCAGAACACTCCTTTAATGCAGAGCTCTGGTTTACAGCGCGGAGCGCAGCTGCCCCCGCTCTCCGTCACGGTACCGTCCTCCATCCCGCAGTCGCCCCCGGGCAGCCAGACCCAGCCCTCCATGGGGATAGACATCAACTCGGTAAGCCTGGGCACAGCTCCCACTGGGAGAGCCTGCTGGGCAGCAGCAGGGAGTCAGGGCAGGCTGGGCAGCCCCTGTAGGATCCTAGAGTCGTTCAGGTTGAAGAGACTTTTAAGCTCATTGACTCCAACCGTCCCCCAGCACTGCCAGGTCCCCACTGCCCCGTGTCCCTCACCCTACATCTCCACGGCTTGGAAACCCCTCCAGGGGTGGGGACTCCACCACTGCGCTGGGCAGCCTGGCACAGCCCTGTGCAACCCTCCAGGGCAAGAAATTGTTCCTCAGGGACAACCTCAACCTCCCCTGGGGCAACTTGAGGCTGTTTCCTCTTGTCCAGTTCCTTGTCCCTTGGGAGCAGAGCCCGACCCCACCCTGGCTCCAGGCTCCTGTCAGGAGCTGTGCAGAGCCAGAAGATCTCCCCTGAGCCTCCTTTGCTCCAGGCTCAGCTGCTCCTGCCCACACTTGGGCTCTAGACCCTTCCCCAGCAGCTTCACTGCCCTTCTCTGGCCACGCCCCAGCCCCTGAGTGCACTTTTACACAGTCTGAAGTAGACTGAATGATTTTTGTTGATTCCACATTTTTATAGAGGAATATTTAGTTTTAATGTGTGCTTAGGGTGGCCGTATTTTCATAAAATGCTGTCCCTGACCACTCCATGTTTATCAGACCAGCTTAAATAGATCAACATTTATTTCATACCTTGCCATTGCCCTTGCACTGATGCATTATCAGGCTGCTAAATGTTACACACCCCCAACACATTGTGTGTTACACAGCATGCTGTAGGCTGCAACTCTGATAAGGAAAACTGCTAGCAAGTATTTTCCAAAAGTTGCCAAGAAACAGGTATTTTCTGTACTGTCTGTATTTAAAAACCCTTACATTGCTAAAGAATTTTAGAGCATACATTATTATCTTCAAATATGGTCTTTGTGGCCACCTTTAGATGCCCAGAAAAAAATGGGGTTACATATACTGATGATTTATGGACAGATTCCCTTTTTTGGCTTGTGTTACCAGGATCTGCTGTGAAATGTTGTGTTTCTCTGCATATGACAATCCAAAGTGCAGAGTCAGGCCAGGATTACAGGCTGCTTGGGGAGGAATCTCACAGCCTGTTCACTGCTAACTGACCTGCTCTGTAGGCTCTGGGTTGTTGGACCTGTTGTGTCCTCCTGGCAGTGTTGTAGTGACAGTAATTGGTTTAGAAAGGAGAAGAAATCATTCAATTGATCTCACACTTGACTGAGGATTTCATCTGCGGATGAAATGTTTTAACAGTTTGTGCTGGTAAGTGTTTCTTCAGAGGAGCTGCAGCTTCCCTTGCAGGGTTGGAAGGGGAAGAGGGAAGGACAAACCCAGCAGTGGAGAGGACACCGACCCACTCAAAACGTGTCCTTGTGTTTTGATTCTTAATACTCACGTAGCTGCAGATGATTCTGACTTTCATTCTTTGCTTTCTGTGTTGCTTTCCTCATCCTAAACTTCCTTATGACCTTAACTTTTAGGGTGCTGTGCTTATCTTTTAAAGCAGATGAAATCATACCTAAAAAAAGCCTCAATTTAAAGCTAGTTTACCAAAAAAGCCCTTTGCTGTGTTACAGTGTCCCTGACAACTTTCATGCAGTTTTTGAAAAGCAGTATTGAAATTCATTTTGCTGCAGTTTTGGATGGCTGCTTGAAGTGCAAAAGTAGCCATGCAGAGCAAAGAAGGGGTTAAGATGTATTTTATTTTCTCAGATTTAGAGAATTTGGTGTCAGAAAGCCTTGGGAGCACATTGTTCTCCCACACTGCGGAGCTGCCTGATTAAATCACTCCTCTTAGAACTACTGGATTGCAGGTTTTCCTCAATCATCTGTTAATTTTTAAAGGAAGTACAGTGTGAAGAGCTGTACTTTACTATTTATGTTAATTACTGCAACATTCTATTTAAATGCCATTCAGTTGATTAATTTGTTCAAACCCAGGGTTCTTCATGACCAAAAAAAAAGGTAAATCTTTGAAAACGTGTTCTCAAGAACAACGTAAATATAACTAACACAAACCTGAAAGTCCTCCTCTGTGAAGGATTCCAGTCTGTGTGGTTTATACTCCCAGGCTGCTCAGCTCTGGGCAGAGTAACACCAGGAGTATCTCCAGAGCAGTTTCAGCACAGGTTAATAGGTGGCTGTGGCAGCTGAAGCGAGGGATAAATGACGTTATTTTTGAGTTATTCCAAGCTTTCAAAACTTTTCCCTAAGTTGTTGGCTGACCAGATTTTGTTAGATTGAGCATAGCTGAGAAGAGGGAGAAAACATTTTGCACAGTTTTGGTGGGAGAGCAGCACTGCCCTGCTCTCAGCTGTCAGTCAGACCACACCGTGCCACCCCGACACCTTAACTCTCCTTTTTGTGACATTGTTCACAGTGTCTCCGTACACAGCCAAGAGCTGCTGAAGAGGATGGTTTCTCCCAGCTTCCTCCAGCTGTACACACCAGAAGTTGATACTTTTCCAACCTTCCATCAATGCCATGGTCTTTAATTCTGTGTTGTTCTGTAGGCTTCACTCCAGCAGTACCGCAGTAATGCTGGATCCCCAGCCAACCAGTCTCCCACCTCTCCTGTCTCCAATCAAGGCTTCTCTCCTGGCAGCTCCCCTCAAGTAAGGGACTCTGTGCTTCCACAGGCCTTGCTTCTCATGTGTGTTTTTAGTTGAGTCTCTCCATTACTGACCCATAGTTGTCTCACTGTAACTGTATGTGCCTCATGCATTACTGATGTCTCATCTCGTTTGCAGTTTCATTCAGCTCCAGAGTTTTTCAATAGCTGGTGAATTGCCTTTTTATTGGTCCAAGCTCCTATTTGAATGCTATTAAAACTTAGTTATTTCTTTGGGGTGGACAGAAACTCCAGGCAGAGTCCTTTCAATCATGCAGGGGCTGATGGATAAAGCTAGGAGGGCAGAGGAGAGAGAGGGAAACATAAATGCCTCCTGCAGCAGGGCAACTCCTGTGGCATTAAATAACCCAAATGCATTTACATCAGGACCTTTTTTTAACATAGGAACATAGACTTTGAAACAAAACACTGGAGAAAAGGCTCTTAAAAATAAAATCAGCAATTTTACCTCGTGGCTTGCAAGTCCTGGGTTGGTGAACACGCTTCCTTGCATGCTGGCTGGTTTTTCTTCCTCTCACATCCACGTGTCCTGGATGCAAGCTGTAGCTTGGGGCACATGCAGTCCTACAAAGGGGAATAAATCTGCCAGCAGCAGCACACTTAAAACCAAGGCAGAGTCTTTGGGGGTGCCCCTAATGTAAGGGAGTGAGTGTGTTTTCAGTACAGAAATAACCTGCTGCTGCTCAGAGAGCTCCATGTGGCTGCCCTTCACCTGTAGAAACAAGGAAATTCTTCCAAAGCATCACAGCAGAGTCTGAAAAGCCATTTTCTGTCTCATCATTTAATGTTGAAGGCTGTAAGGAGGATCCTATCTAAATAAGTGCTGCCCCTTCATGGTTCCAAAGCAGAAGCTTCGTCTCTCCTTGCCATTAGCCAGAGACAGGTCACTGGTAAGCTCAGAAATAGAACCGAGTGTCAGGACTGTCTGGATTTTCTTAACCCTTGCTTAATTGCTTCTTAACTTCCCTCTCTTCTGCCTGCTTCTGCCAGTTCTGCTGTGTTCTATGTGTGGCTCTGAGAAAACCAGCAGACTGACTCCTCTCAGCTGGCCTGTAGAGCAGAGCTGTTGCCAGGCTTGCTGCAAATCCTTGGGCCCCGGTCTCATTTGATTTTGATTTGATCTGATTTTGATTTTTGCATTGATTTTCTTTCCCTGTTGACTTCTCAATAACTCTTTCGTGGTTTTGTCCATAGACTTGTTGCCACTGGTCTGTCCCCAGCACTGGAGTGCAGCCAGCCACACTTGAGTATCATTTTTCCTGCTGGGCCTGTTTCACCCTCTAAACTCTCACTTAGGTTTTGCTGTTTTCACGTGGGACACTCTACCTCTCTGTGAAAGGAAGAGGGATTTTTAATACTGCTCACTGTAGTATTGGCCTCTTAAAAATACCCACACAACTCTTTATGTTTGCTGAATTAACGAGACAGCTTTCCTGCCTCCATCAAAGAGCCAAACCCTGGTAGTGGTGTGGACCTCTTGAGGCTGCAAATAGTGGAGAGAAGCAACAGGGGAAGAAAAAGCAGTTTGGAATTAAAATTTGGGTTGGTTGTGTTTATGGGGACAGCTCCTGAATAGCAGGATGCATTAGGCTGTGATGTGCCAGGAGCAAAGGCAGCTTGGTTCTGACAGCAGAGTGTGCCTGTTGTGGAACAGTCTGGCACTGGCTGACAAGAGCAGAGCAAAGTAGGTGTGACTGGGTGGCTGCCTGCTCTTGCTCCTGTTTCTCTGAGTAATTTTAGGTTCAATCACTCTGCAGTGTATCGATAGGATGGGTGACACGCTCTGAAACCAGAAATCTGTGGTTGGATTTTGATCACATATGGTTCATTCACCAGAAAGTTGTTATTCATCTTTTCCACATCTCCAAATCTCTCTGCTCTCTGTGTTTTAATGTGTGTGTGTGTGTGTGTTGTATGAAGGTCTTCCTGTCCAAACACCAACTGAAAAGCTCTGCTGTAGCTCCCAGCTCCGTGTTTGCATGGCTTTCATTGACAGCTCCTCGTTTGGTTACTACTGTGCTTCTCTCCTCTAACACCTGGCACACTGTTCCAATTAGACAGAAATCTGCTTTTTTCAGTAGAATGGCTGTATACTGGATAATATGGTTTGTATTTTTAGATTAATAATTTAAGCCAGGGGTTTGTGGTTTGGATATTTTTTTTTTTCCCCCTTGCAGTCACCACATCATTAACCCAAGAAGATGTACTGTTGACAAAACAGACCTCACCCAGTGTTTCGGGAGGAGATGGTGTTAGCAAGATGTTTTTCACAGAGTTGTCAATAAATTATCCTGGGGCTCTGAAGTGTTGAAGTAATGACATTTCCAGCTGATTTCCTTTGGGGTTTCCAGTGCTCACAGATGTAATAACCAGTATCGTTCAGAGCTGAGGAATAAATAGGGGCTTGTACGTTCTGTTAGGAGTTACTAACCTAGACTTGCACAAATAGATTTTTGGTCTCCTGTTTGTTATTTTTCATGTTGCCTAAAATTTTTAGGATGGGAACAGCGCTTAGTGGAATGCAAAGATTTTAGGGTTTGCCCTATTTCTGTAAAGTTCCTGTAAAAATGAAACGTCAGAAGGTAAAGGGAAAACAAAATATTCGATTCTCTTTGGAGCTCTTGCAGAGTAATTGTGTTTCTAGATTCACGTCGTGTATGTGACATCCCAAAGTGCAGGTTTTTAATCAGAAATTGTTATAAAAGATCACAGAGCTCTGAAGCCCTGTCTGCCACTTAGGATGGGAATGATTTTCCTGTGATGGAGTCAAGCTTGGCTGGTCCTCATCTGCTCGCTTGAGTTGGCACCGTGCTCTGACTCTTCTTTTTTAAGGCAGAAAGTAACACGTTGAATAACGTGGAGCTGGAGTAGTTGATCAAAGTGAGTAAGACACTGATGGTGTAAAGAAAAGCGTGAGGTTTTTTTTTATTTGGGTAGTACTTTGCTTTTTCTCTTAATGGGTGTAACGTGGCTCTTGCTTGGGATGTTTGGTAAGTCCCTCGTAGCCCTGCCTCGTGTGAGGGACAGAGCAGCACCGTAGGTTTGAGCTCCAGGTGAGGAAGTAGAAGCCTGGTTCCAATTATAACCAGTCTCTATTTTTACTTGCTTCTGAAGAGAGCATCGAGTAGGGTGTTAAGCTGCAAAGATGTCATCGTTGTCCTGTGGTCACTGCTGTGACAGATCATAAATGCACAGGAAAGTGAATCAAAATCTTTTTTGTCTGTAAAATCCTGCTCTTGGCTCAGGCTCTACTTAATCAGTCTTGAAGATGTGCTGGCTTCTTTCAGTGAAACCATTCCTGCCTGGGAAGCTCCTGTATGATCTTTTCTGACAAGGATTTGGAGGCAGTTGTCTGCTCTGCCAGTATCCTACTTGAAGGCAGCCCTGTGCTCCCAGCAGTCAGACGTTATCCAGCAGCTCTGTTCTCCAGCAAATTTCTCTCTTCTCCAAGCACATCCAGATCTCTCCCTCACATGCAGCCAGGGAAAAGTGCTTCATGGTGATGCTGGGAGTGCTCCTTGGATCTGCTCAGCACGGAGTCATGTGGCATGAGCTGAACTTTCAGCCACCTTCCCCCGTGGGGTCTCATCCTCGGGCTGTGAATCCTTCCCACTGTGCCACATCTATCAAAAAATGTCCATAATATGTCATAGCTGAGGAGTCCAGCTGAACGTGGGGAGGTTTTTGTTTACTTTGAGAAGAATATGTTGATGCTTCTTTCCTGATAGTTCCCCCTCATGGGGGTTGTGGGCAGTTTAGTTTATTTTTCATGCAAGAATTCCTTCTTTCCCTTGCATGCAACCTGCAAACAAGCTGTGCTGAGATACACTGCTGGTGTAGGAGGGAGAATGTTTAAAATGGGACATTGGCCAAAACTTTTCTGTTCTGTTGTGGACACTGCTGGGGATTTTCTGGGTACCGTCATCCTTGGCTGTGTTCAGCACTCTGAAGTGCAGTGCCTGGTGTAATTCTGCTATTTCCTGGGCTTTTCCCTAATTTCATACACTGCTTGCATTGGAAAGGAGAAAATTTGTAGCTTTCTGCTAACGTGTAGATAAACCAACAGGAAAATGCTATGTGAGGGGTTGGATTTTTTTTCCAACATCGATACAAACTCTCTGTGCAAACAGGCTCTTACAGGCACCATTTTTGTAGATGCTCTTTGGCCCTAGATGTGTTTTTTTTCAGCTGGAGTATCAGAATTTGTGACAGTTTTAGCTAAGAAGTGATCACTCTGGTTTCTTTTAAATCTGTCAGTTCTTTGGGGCATTACCAAGGAGTGTTAAAACATTGACCTTAAATTCTTGGCCAACTTTAGAATAATTGATGGAGAAAACTGATGAACGCTTGTCATGCTGGAGGGGACAGTAAAATTAGCAAGGCTGAGGAATCCCTCCTGAGATTCTTACCTTCGAACTGCTGATAACACACTTCCCCAAGCTTCTGCCTTAACTTTTCTGATCTGCAGCTAAAGAGAAATTACTTTAAACTGCCCCTTTTCTTGTGGCACGTTGTGGTCTCGGTGACGCTGGCTGTGCTGGGAGGTCTCCTTTTGTGTTTGAACATCCAGGTCACCTCCGGGGAGGGGAGGTTTGTCTGTCACCCAACCCCCAAAAAAGTTCCTAAACCAGCTGAAGTCACGGAGTGATTTTTGTTCTTGTGTTCCCCAGCACACTTGTCTACTTTCATAAATCAGAAGTTCTATATGTTGTATGTCCTCCGTGAGGAGGTGTGTTTGGTTTGCTCGACTGTCTTCTTGTGCCTACCCAAAGGCAGCGTAACACGGGAGGATTTGTGTGTTGGAGGGAAGTCCTGAATGTTTTCTCAGTTAGTGGTGGCTGTTAATGAGGGGCACAGCTCGTTAGCCCGGAGGAGAACTGGCCGGGAGGCTCGAGTCGCTGCACACCGTGGGTACGTCTGGATGTCAGATCCTTGCACCATAAAGACTCTGTTTTGTTTTCAGCATTCTTCCATTCTGGGGAGTGTATTTGGTGACTCCTATTATGATCAGCAGATGACAGCTAGGCAGGCTAATGCCCTATCCCATCAGGTGAGCAAATTCATCTCAGATTTTCAGCTATGTTTCGGCCACTTTCAGCTTAAAATAAATATAGATCAACTTCTGATTATTTTATGTAAGATCACACTTTGTCCATACAGTTTTACTTCTGTTATTTTTAATTTGCAATACTCCTTTCTCCTTTTCTCCTGGGCTTTTGTTGGTTTGGTTTGGTTATTTTTTTTCCCCCCACTCTTCCTTCCCCTCTGTCCCTCTTAGCCATTGTAGCAGATGTTTTTAAAGGTGTTCTGCCAAATTAATTGGATTAAAAATAACAAGAATAGAGTTAAAACCCCCACATTTCTGGCCGTAGTCGCATTTGGGAAAGATTCACTTGTAGGTGGTAACAATATCTGCTCCTGAATTTGGCACAGAGCTCGTGCCTGGTCCCAAATCCCAGCAGGCAGACCTGTGCCTTGGGCTGTTGGACTGACCCAGTGCATTCAACTGTGAAATATGCTCTGGGAGCAGGAAGAAACGAGGTGGCTTCTGAGAGGCCGTGCTTGATGGGCAGATACCTGAGTTAGCAGCATGAATGATGGGGTTTTTCCTTTCTTTTAAAGCTACCTTTTCTTTTGTTCTTACGATATCAAAAGCAACAGTTTTATTTTTGCATCCACCCTCTCCTCACTCCCCTGCACTCTGAATTTGGCAGTAAACTATTCTGCAAAGTCAAGTGAAACTAGATGATATTTTGATCAATGAAACCTAAAGATGAATTTGTTTGCCTGTCTCTTTTCAACGTTACTTCCCATACTTGTGCTTTGTAAGTTGTTTTGCTGTTTTATTTCCTGATGGTCAGAAGTAATAACTCCTTTGTGCCTTGGTCTTCAGCTTGAACAGTTTAACATGATAGAAAACGCCATTAGTTCCAACAGCCTGTACAGCCCCTGTTCCACCCTGAACTACTCCCAGGCCGCCATGATGGGACTCACAGGCAGTCATGGCAGCTTGCAGGACTCACAGCAGCTGAACTACTCCAGCCATGGAAACATCCCCAACATCATTCTGACAGGTAAGAACCAACCCCCCCATCTGCACCCACGTGTAAAACCACCCCGGTGCCGGCGTTTCCCTTCGCTGTGAGGTGGGTCCCTGTGAGCCAGGAGTGGAAAAGGGTCTTGCTGCCTTTGAAGGTTTTGTTCCACCTTGAGTATAGGTTGGTGTTACTGGTGTGGAGTGTTTCCTGGGTGCCGTGGATTCCAACGGCAGTTGGTTAATCCCAGCAAACAGGGAGAGCTGCAGTGACAGGGAGAATTGTCCTACAGACTTCCCTTGGCTGCTGAATTTACTGGATCCTCCACCTCAGTGAGGCAGAGGCTTTGACAGCCCAACTTCTTCCTCTGCTGCTCTGTTTGAACTTGCCAGCTCAGGAGTTTTTAGTGTCACATATGGTGGCGGATCTGGTCGCGGTTGGACGTTTGGAAGTGATTTCTGCACAGGCCACTGAGAGAGCTGTAGGTTGGTCCATACTTCAGCCAAGGACTCTTGCTGATCTGAATCATGTAAATAAAGGTTGTTCCTCCTAAATCTAAGGGAGAGGAAAGAGATTCAAGTGGCCCCCAAACATACACACATGAATTTTACCATGAGTTGGGCTGTTATGGTGGGTCTGAGGTGCTCTGATAAGCCTGTCATTCACCCGGCTGGAAAAGAGGGGAGATGTTTCTCATCTGGACTTCAGCCTTGGTTCAGTGAATTATTCCAGATTTTTTCCAAGCTGTTTCATGACTCATCTGCCTGGCAAACACCTATTTGCTGAGTCCCGCCGACACCTTTCTCTTCCTCTTCCCTGCAGTGACAGGAGAGTCTCCCCCCAGCTTATCAAAAGAACTGACCAGCTCTTTGGCGGGAGTGGGAGACGTCAGCTTTGACACGGATTCCCAGTTCCCTCTGGATGAACTCAAAATTGACCCTTTAACCTTGGATGGACTGCACATGCTGAACGACCCCGACATGGTCATCACCGACCCCGCCACAGAGGACACGTTCAGGATGGACCGGCTGTGAGGCGCAAACACCCGGAGCGTGGGAATGGCGCTTGTTCCTGGAGCCCAGCCGAACTGCAGAGCCCCACGGGTCAGTCGTGTGGGAACAGGGGCTGCCCAGAGAGCAGCAGCTCTGTCCTGTACAACCTGTACAATGAGTAAAAGCTTGTCGTTCTAAGCTTGCCGCGCTGCAGACCCCCACTCCCTGTCGCGCCGTGTTTCGCCCCTTATCCGCTCATGGCCATCGATGAGTCAGGAGTTTCCATCAGCCTTCTCCTCTCCAGAGCCCCCCCTGCCCCCCCACCAAAGCTCCAGCGTTAAGTTGTCGATTTATCCTTTGCACTAGAAAAAAACAAAAGGGGTGGGTTTGGGCAGGCGAGGGAGGTTCAGAGCTGAGGGT